CAAATGTTACCATGACTCAGTGTTCCACCCGAACCTTAACCACTAACTCTAGAGAATGCCTGTTACTCAATTTGTAGAAAAAATGCTTCCAATCGAATTCTAACCGATATCACCAGCATGATTTGAAGATAATGGCTGTTAACTAGTTGAAGGTAATCGACAAGAAGCCCTGAACCTAGGTTTCATGCCTGTTGGCACTCATCAGAAAGGCATATCTGCAACCTCGAGGGAACTGACATCCGCTATGAGATTTGAACCCGTGTCATCGAATGCTGACTAGAATATTACTGGAAGCTATGCACCTAGAAAATATGAACTCGAGAAACACCTGTACCTCAACAGAAATCAGTCAGTTAACCGAAAAAATTATAACACTTAGTTGAAATAACACCTAAAACTTGTCATATACTTACTACCTGTAAAACGTCAAGAAAAGAGAATCAGTGAACACAAGGGGAATATAAATTTGGAGTAATAAGAATTTCAAGATTTGTAAGATAATACGTGTTGAACGGAATTCGGCTACCATAGTCGATTTCGAGATACGTTATTTGGCAATGCAAATCATTCATTTCAAAGTTTCAGCACTAGCATATACACCTTAGAGAATTAGTCAGTGACCTCAAGTAATGTACTAGCACAAAACAGTGCAACTGTCAGTCAAGTGATGACAAGATAGACGATAGTTTGTCATGTGTAGTACCAGTTTTGACCAGGTAAATAGATGCACTTTGACAACCTCATTCATCAATTTAAGTTCTTTCTTAAAAATTCAAGTGATTGCATCATACGTGAGCAGTAATTTGAAGAAATCTACGTTTGAGTACCTGAAAACCTATTGTTTCATTCAATTCTAACGATTGTTTCATAGCCATATATTACCAGAAAAAGAATTGCTAAACACTATTTTGATCCTCTGAAAAGTAACTGAATAACTTATCAGTGATATAAACAACTTAGACCTTGAAATGCTGAAGAAAGTTTCGTATCCATTTTGAGATTCCATCAGACGTCAGTCTATCACGGTTGATAAGCTAGTTGACCAAAACGTACATCAACTTCATTGCATAAAAGTTGGGAAAATAATTCCAAATAATCTCAGATTACCAGTTCAAAAATTTCAGGAAACACAAACTTATAACAGATTCTTGACCTCGAAAGACTGTAGTCTGTGTGTATTGCTGGACAATCAGAGAATACTCTTGGTTGGGACGAAATTCAGTCACCGACTGGAAGTCTGCTATGCAGGTAGCAACCACCTGTATTTCAGCAGTCACTAATTATCTGTGTAACTGATGTTTCAAATGACATACGTAAAGGAATGTTTCTGTCTCTCCCCTCATGCGTATACAGGCTACTCACTTCAAAAGACCAGTTAGGACTTAGTTAATAAAACTTCAATGTTCAAATTACTTTGATAATGACATGTAAAACCTGATGGTTGATACGGGTTGCTTCAAATATGAACCATGTAATCTAGTGTTAAAATGTTTCTTACTCATTATAAAACAACAATAAATTTCTAAGCCTATAACATAGTACAATAATGGAAAGCTTAATAAAACAACACCTACACAACAATTAAAAAAGCATACGGTTAGTGACAAATTGTTGATAAGTGATTAGCGTAGATTATATTACAATCTAATTGAACAAAGATTGCTTAGAAAAGCCATCGTGACTATTACTAAACAACTGTGAATTAGTTCATTCATTTAAAGACAATCGATTTCAACAAATTTCAGGTGCGGACTATATCGTTTATTTTATATATATATATATATATATATATATATATATATATATATATATATATATATATATATATATATATAAAGGAAAATAATAAGCAGACTGTAGACGTAGCTAGTTGGCGCATCCACTGAACTTACAACCATTGGAGACCGGATTCGAACAATCCCTCTATATAGATTTGTACAGTCAGTCTCCATCCATTTGATGTAGTTCATAGTAGTGTGGAACAACCACAGAGTACTGTTTGACGTGGACACCACGTAATTACGTCGATTGTATACCACTGTCACATAAATATGAAGGGGAGGGACTACACAAGCACATACTATGGAGACAGTATATCTGTAGGATGAATGCTACAACGGCAAATAAACCGATATGACTTGACTGGTAAGAATAACTACAAAATACATAACTCTGACACTTACATGATTCTGACTTTTTACATGCTTCGCCAAATAAATATGACTATCTTTGCCTACGCTACTCATAAACAACGTCTCATTTTGAGTCACCAAGTGAATGAAAGATGAGATATTTGTAACCGTTTGACTGACAGTTTTCCTGACCCTTTGTACTTACAACAGAAGACAGAGAACGATGCTCACCATCCTATTATCATTCCCACGCCGAATCATTCTCATACACACAAGTCAGTTTTATATGAACAAATCATACTATAATTTACACAATAACTAAATAACTCGTTATATACACAGAAAACGGAAAAATAAATAACTGCATTTTATCATATGCAGTCATTTCCAGACCATAAATCGTATGAAAAACAAGTAAGGAGTCAACAAGAAAGCTCTTGAGCTAGGCTATTTAACAATACTTGGTTATTGAGTTTCGAAATGTTCTTCCAAATAAATAAAATAGTACGATCGATAATATTTATCTCAGATTCGCATTTCCCCCTTCTTGCATCAGTTATAACAATGAGTAATTTATTCCTCTAATAAAATTATGTATAACTTATCTTAGACACTGTTAGTTTTACTGGTAGATTATGCACTGAATTATACACGCCATCATATAAATTCACTGATGTGAAAAAGCAGATACATTGAAGTTTATCACACCCTGTTCGGTGCATACAGAAAATGTTTTACTTTTTAATAATGACCTTATTCTTGAAGATATTTCGGGAATGCTGTACAGAATTTCCAGAATATCATATAGCATAAATTGGACAGAAACAGTGTACTTGTTTACATAATAAAACAAGTATAACTTACACATTAAAAGATAAGAACATTTACTCCATCTACAACTTTCTTGAAAATGCAGAGTTAACTTAGGTAGACAGTCATATTACCAATTAGATTCAATAATAACAAGCTGTGTACGCATTAATTAGTTTCCTTTCAAGGGCAGAAGTTGATCAGGTAGTTCATTTCTGATACCTTCTTCCGCGTACACGATACGAGAAAAATACCGTATTGTAGAGCTTTTATATTTAGTAGTACATGCATAAAGTCATATAAATTTGCTTCTGATCTCAGTTGAGAACCGATAAGCAGAGAATGTTGGGTGAAGAGAATTCTGTTCATCTGATAGAGTAACTGTTATCAGATGTTAAAATGTTCGTCCACAACAGTTTTGATTAGAAGACTTAAAGGTACACCATTAGTTATGCTGACAATCTTCAACGTCCTACACAAAATAGTATAGTCTTTCTTTTCAGCGACCCGGGGAAAAATAAATGAGAACAATAGAGGAGAATAGGCAAGATGCAGGATAGGAAAATAGGCTGTTATACCAGATACTCTCAGCTTCCTAATATAGGTGGAAGATTCTTTTGGCTATTAGTAAGATATGGAAAGACCAGGAAAGGTTGGAAGAAAAACACACCCCGAGACAAATCACACTTGTAACATTCCCTAATGCTCAACTATCAATAGAACAGGAAACATGAGAACTGAGTAGTTTACATAGGCTATGTTCGCATCTGAAACTAAAGTTCATAGTTTGACATTTTGAAGAATAAAGCACAAGACCACCATCCAGTTGTAGACAGGAAACCGTTCAGTGGGGAATAGTCACATAAAGAAGAGATAGGTTTGGAATCTGTCAGGTCATCAGCATATTTGATTAAATTGATACTAGTTGAAGATACCAAGTCATACAAAAGGAAAAGACCAAAGGTATTACGATTAACACAAGAATACAATAATCTTTCCTACCCTAACCCTTTTATCTTATTCTTGCAGACATAAGATAGGAAAGAATAAACCACTAACATTTCTAGAGTGATTGAAAAAAATATGATTTGGAACGATTTATTAGAAAGCTAGTCGTGATCCTTTTTAACAAATAAACTGAAACAATAATGGTAATCATAACATATAAAAAGGCTTCAATTTTGACTAGTTAGCTAACACTACTATACTAATGACAATAGCAAATAACCGATAGCTTCTATAATTTGCTTGACTCCTAAGATGTGACTCTTTCTTCACGAAATATCCGTTGTCTACATAGTGAACTAAAGTTTCTGCGTCACAGCCGTTGGTGTTTACAAACTCTGCAAATCATAACAATTGTCATTCACACTACCGTAGGGTATGAAAACTTCAAAAACTGATGGGTACAATGAAAAATCACACAATCGAAAGAAAACGTGTACAGCTATTTCATGGCATAAAGTGTTTTGCGAGTATATAAACGCCTTAAGATAGTTGCGAACGATTAGGAATCATTCGAGTATATATACATGGTCAATGAAAAGAAAATAATACACAAAGGTGTAAGAAATTGCGATCAGAATAAACTTCAGACATTCGTTAATATTACTAATGTATAAATAATATCGGACAAAGTGACAGGAGGAAGTGGCGACCCTCAGCTATGACTTGATTATTCCTAATGATTATGTCGGCTGATTATGACTACAGACTAGATTAAGTCATGGATTACAAAGACCTATTCATTCTTTCTCTTCTCTCCACCATAGCGCATTGGGTATGTTGGCTAAGCGGCTATTACGCATATACACCTTTTGGAGTACTCCCCCCTTCTTTGCAACATACACTGACGTTCCTTTATTTTGGGTTGTATACAAAATTCAAATTTTCTTAAACTATCAACAGACCGCTAAAAAACAAGAAAAATGTTATAATGAATCTGTTGCGTTCGATAATAAATTCAGAAGGTATATTATATGAAAACTGACATCTTGAGTTGAACCAACTATAATAATATATACACTTCCTAACGGTTAAATAGTTAAATATAATTACCGGTAGCAATCGAAAAGAATCACTGATACCACGATTGCATAAGTAATTGTCTAAATAATTCCAATTGAGGATAACTGTTGAATCACTTGTGAAGTTTGTTTGCAATGAAACATACGATTTCGCATCTGGTACTTGTAAAGCATACGAATATGTAATTTTGATAAGTTTATCTATTTGACTGGTAAAAAAAGGACAATAAATGAAAAAAATTCGATCAATAAATAAGTAAACGCATTAATAAATGAGCGAATATCAAAAGAGGTTTCAAATATTTGCAGGTATGAAAGATACCTGAAAAAGGCTTCAAGTATACATTAGTAAATATTTCTTAGGATGGGAGTATACCACCAGATCATTGAGTTTTGACCACGGATTTCTTCGTAACATTGCTCGCGTTTACCTGAATCACCATGTGAACAATGTCGAGGTCAGGTGAGGGGTACTAGGTAAGACATGCAAGTCGATTGATGAGGTTTTGAACTTTCATCGGTTGAGACGGCTTGGACATGTACTGCGCATGCCGAGCCATCGCTTACCACGATATGCCATGCTAGGGGAAAATAAATTAGGTTGGAAGAGGGTTCAGGGTGCCCAGATCAATATCTGACACCAATCGATGAAGTCTCTGATTGTTGATCTAAGCCGTGTGCGAGATGTAGACTGCTTGGTTGGTATCTGCAAGAAGAAAGGAATCAGTGGTTGAGGACTCTTGGTGATATGGCTGAAATTCGGTCACAGTCGCGCAGATGTATTCACTCCTTAGCATTTTCTGAAGCTTGAATATTCGCACTTACCGTTACCCTCGGATTATTTATTCCCTTGTACTACTTCATGTATTTTGATATCACCCGTTTTCTGTCCTTATGTTCTTTTTGTACTACTTTGAAGTGTGGCAACTTGATCCGATGCACCTGTATGTGAGGTTCTACATTGATTTCGTCAGTCAACCATAGTACCAGATGCTATCCTTAGTGACTTCAATGATATTCTATTGTAGTGTACTTACCAATTCCGACAACTGGATGAACTGTTCCAAGTTAAAATGAGCTAAACAGAAGAGTAGAACAGCTGATACATGACATTCACCTGAAAAGTTTATTCTTTTTAAAATCTAACAAAGTAAAAAAAAAACCTACTTATGTATCACTATGTGCAGTAAGCAAGCTGATAATAAAAATGATGCTGGACTTCTTTAATTCAAGTAGATTTAGACTGGATGAAAATTCGTGACTTGGTAGCCAGTGTGAGTATGTATGATCAAGTGACAGTAACGCGTCATAAATTCAGATGGCAGTCAAGTAAAACCATTGCTGACTGGAATTAAATCAAAACCTGGTAACAGTCGGGACTAGTGGCTCAGTTGGTAGGGCAAAGGGCCAGAAACCTGGTGGTCCATGGTTCAAGTCTTGCCGTAGCCCAAATCTTCACTTAACCTTCAATCATAACAGTATCAACACTATGTCAGATAGTTAAATCGACAATTGTGAATGCTGTTTTTTTCAATTGAATTAATCAGTATATTTCATATATTAAGTAGGATGATACAAAATTGCGGGATAAATAAAATACTTCACAATTCATCTTCGGCCAAAGTACAGCCTAAGATTGGATCGATTTTCTAGAATAATTACACAACATAAGGTAGACATAACTTTGAGTTAGTGTCATCTTAACGTTTTCTAATTACTTATGCGTTTACACAATATATATACAATTATCTATTTGATCACATTTAGGACTAATGGTTGTTGCATTCCAACGTAGTTTATCATCACGGATTAATATCAATCGAAGAACTATTGAGAACCTATGAGCATTGAAAAGCTGTTTCATTCTAGTTTAGGACTTTTCAGCAGTGCATACAAACAACCCATGACGGTCACACCCCAGTTGAAACTGAAAAAAAAGTAGGAAAATGTGAACCATAGGATGCCAGCCGTTGACCGGACGGTAACATGTCCAACGTGTGATTTGAACAGCCTGATCCTTCACAAGGTTTTGAGTGCACGCTCCTGAGGAGTCTCAAATGAAACAGCAACCTGGAATTCCTAGGCTCTTACAATGACATCACCTTTTGATAAAAATTACTTTGAAATCGCCTGAACCTGACAAATCACCAAATGAAGTTTTACATTGCCTAGATTCATTGTATTACTGACATTCCTAGATTTCAGACTTTATCTGTTTTCATAGTATACAATTATTATGGGGTTGGTGGAGATTTAAATTTTAAGAAAGCACTCATCACGGACTAACATCAGTTGGAGAACCATTGAAAAACTGAGAGCACTGGACAGCTGTTTTGTCTTAGCATGGGACTCCTCAGCAGTAAGCACTCACCACTCCACCCTAGATGGAACTCATGACCTTCAGGTTTCACGGCGAACACGTTAACCATTCACCTACTGAGTTGAAGTTCAATGGTCCATAGTTTCCTACTTCTGTCAATCCGCGATATGTAGCCACTATCCAGCAAGGTTTTCAGCTGATATCTGCTTCACTTCCGACTGCTGGTTGACCCTACAGGTCAGAGCTTCCCAATGAAACTTCGGGATATCCATATCGAAGAATATGCCCGAAATTGAAAGACGTAAGAAACTGAGGAGCATTGAAATTCAACACACAGGCTAAACGGTTAACGCCTTCACCATGACACCTGAAAGTTGTGAGTTAGATCACTAGAGGAGTTATGGGTCCGTTCCGCTGAGTCCCACACTAGGACAAAACAGCTGTCCAATTCTCACAGGTTTCCAGTCGTTCACCAACCAATGTCAGTCCGTAGTGAATAAAATCACCACTCTTAATAACACCTTAAGTTTTAGGCTGCATTGCAGATGAAGATAAACCATTTAAAAATGAGTCCATCCCATCAAGCCGATCAGTAAATTTCTGGATGGATACAGTGTCGGAGTACAATGTGTCTTGCATTTAAGATAGTTAACATTACTCAGTGACTTAATAGACAACTGTCAAATGTCTGAGATTTTATGCTGATAAAAAGTGAGTGAGAAAATAAGTGCACACACATCTATGGATCAACATCTATGATCAACAGTAGAGATCAGAAAATGTTTTTTGCATTATTACTAGCTCGTCCTGTACATATATAGTTTAACCGCACTATACCAGGGTCCTTCTATTCGCTTTGGAACTCGACACTTACCAGTTACACTTTCAAATTCTACAATACTGCATGCTAATTTACTGTTTTATTGGCTTTGCTAAAATATAGTGCCATAACACATGCTTATGTATTAGGTTATGAGCGGCACCTATTTTGTGATGACCTGTGGTAACACCCGGTTACCTAGATTTAAGCAGGTAAGGCGGGTTTCGGACACAGGATTCACTGCTTAGAAGTCATCTTTTCTGGCGAATCCATAACATATCCATCATCAATTAACTCTTACTCAATGCACATCCGTTTAAAAACATTTTTCATCACGTATCGACAAAAGGTTGGAGAGACTAAAGGATGCGCTCCACTTAAAATTATGACCAAAAAAGAATGGCTGGCTGACTGGTTGGCTGGATTCAGGAAGAACAAATAATGTGCCAACCAACTGGAAACGACACACTACGCATCATCATACAACACAGCATACAATACCAGTCAAATGGATCCTCACCTCAACTTCATCGACTTCAAAAACGCCACAGTCCAACAGCCTCCACAGCACCCAGAAGTAATTTGACAGCTGCTGCTTCAACACTACGCTTCCAGTGCCACAAACATTCAACAACCATATGACAACGCAACATCCAAACTGATTGATTCACAATGGAAAGCTCAGTCACGCCTTCCAACTCAACTCAACTGAAGTGACGTCACGTGACGTGACGTGAAGACAGCAGTAAAACAAGGCTACCGCATAATATCACCCATCATCTTCCCAACTGTCCTAGACTCCACTGCATCATGCAACAAACTACCACGAGCAACATCAGGGGCATACGCTGCACCGCTCGTTCCACCGATCAAAACACACCACAAGAAGATTCGCATTTCACCAACGATTATCACATAAGTCTCAAATGTCTTGTCGCACAAACTCGAACATCTACACACGAAAACCAACAAATTCACACAACACGACAGCCAACCAACACACCACCTCCTTACGGTGAACCGACTCAACACAGAACTCATGAAGATACCCAACCAACAACAACATCAACAACAAGCATCAATCACCATCAACGGGAGAAATCTAAACGAAGTTGTCTCTTACACCTACCTCTCTACATAGGCACCATCCTATCAACTACACACGGCAGAAGCACACATGACGGTGTCAAAGCCACAATCGGAAACACAGTAAGACATTTCACCAAGACATTTCATCAATCTGAAATCAGTGTACAGATCTACTCCACTCAACTCAACTCAACTCAACTCAACTCAACTCAGCATAAAGCGTGAACAACATCCAGATTTTAAACACCAACATCAAGTCACTCCTTCTACATCATGCTTCACAGACTTGCAGCATCATGAAAAGCATTTCCAACAAACTACAGACATTCATCAACAACTGCCATCTACGCTCGCCCACTCGATGATACTGAAGATCAGATGACCAGGATAATAACAATATGCAACAACGAACTCTCGCTGACTGGCTAACCGGCTGGCAACAAACCAAACAACAACCCATCACTCAACAAATATGCAGAAGAAGAAAGTGGAGATGGATTCGACTAGACATACACTGAGAAAACCATTCGGAGACATCACGACCCAGGTCACGTCGTCAAGTGCAATCCAAAAAGGAAAAGATGAGTTGGGCACCCGAGTTAAGGGAGACATGGAGGAGATGGTGTTAGGAAGAAATGGAAGCTTGTGGGCAGTCGTGGAGCGAGGTTCAAAAGACTGCAGAGGACGGAGTGAAATGGCGACGTGCTACCAAAGCCCTATGTTCCAATGGGAACCCAAGGGAAAAATAATCATAATAATCGATATAAGGTTAATAAACGCTAGAATTATGGAGCATTAGACAAATGATCTATCTTAAATTGAGACTTCCCAGCAATGAGAACCTACAAGCTTATGCAAGATTTAACCAACGACTAACATGTTTCACAGTGGGCAATGTACCATTCAGCCACAAAGATGGAATTTATTGGCCTACTTTTCCAAGCTCCCGCTAACTTCTGACACTGAATGAGAACCGTTTAATGCTACCCACCCCTTATTCATGACTTCACTAGTCATCCTATATTGTGAGCTGATGTAGGTTTGAATTTGTGGTTTAAAGGTAAGTTGCTCACCATCAGAATTTAATGTCTTGGGTTTCATTATATAGAAGATATTTAGCGATCGCTGCTAGGCATTACAGGACGGAGAAGAAGCCACAGATTTATGTGATTTCCCCAGTTTCCAATGGTTATCTAATTCATGTCGACGCTTAGTGACAGCTACTGTCAAATCAATCATTTCCCATAAATCATTGAATCGAACAAGCTGACCACTGGACTACTTCTATTATATATATGCATACGCTCCCATAGGGCTTTGAGAAAAACAATATTGAAGAACACACACCAACAGTAAGCCAGTCACTGATGTTGATAGTACCAGGAGGACCGATAACACTGTTAATCATGAGCATAACATGAGGAAGAACGATAATAACAACGAAGAATTGATAATAAATAACGAGAAGACCATCAACTAACCGGTAACTTGTCACAGCAATTGAATCTTCATCCAATGCAATCAAATGGAATAGATGACCAATGCTTAATTTACGAGTTGTCTACAACCAGAAGAAATACAAAGGGAAAAATACACATGGCTTAGAATAATGCATAGAAAAAACAGGAAGATGAAAGAAGAGAAATTCGTTTTTTTTCTGACGGTAAACAATTTGCTGATGGATAGTAACAACAACAACAAGGAAAAAACAAGTAAACAATGAAATTGTGTTGTTTCCCGCTTCTTATACAATATGAAGTGAGGGGGGAGGATAAACATCAACAAACGAATGTGAACGAAAGGAGAATAATTCAATTTGTGTGAGGGAAGAAGGCAGCGAAAAGAACTAGTCCTTCATATACCCCCACCCCCACCACCACCACACACCGAAACACAAGGTACATGTATATACATAACAGATGAGACGGATAAGTATGCCCATTACGAGTGGTCGTCACCTTACTTACTTAAGATGAAATAAGAATAAACTGATTGATAGCCAGTATATTCATTATCATTCATCAAAGCGATCACTTTGATATCTACTATGATTTCTGGTACTTGACTTGTTTTTTTTAATTTTTATCATGTTGACATTTTTCGTGTACAAACAGAAAGAGGATTATAGATATTTTAATGATATATTTGACAGAATCGACATCAAATGATGAAGTTATACATATGTTTTATTCACGATAATAAAACTGATTCCGACTTCACTATCATTACAGGAAACATGAAAGGGGAGTAAAGTGATACCTCTGTTGATAAACATTGATGAGTGACGAAAGATTAAAAGATTTTCAATGTGTAAAAAACAATATACAATAGTAGTGACTACAAATTAGTTAGTTACAGGAGAGTAACCAATTTTAGCTTGTCTAGTCCTAAGTGCTGGTCGAATCTTGTTGATCACTCTGTAGTATGGTCACTAGACTGAGACTCATTATCGCAATCCATTTGGATCTGGAGGGAGTTGGTGGATCCACTTTAAAGTCCTACAAATTCGCGATTATCTGATGAATTGATCACATAAATATTAATGAATGGAATGAAATTAAAAATCACTCCCCATAAGCGAAATTGAACATGCAGTTGCATGATGAACGGAGAAGATAAAGAAATAGAGAAACAAGTTTATGAATATCAGTCAAGCCTTTGAAAACAGTTCGCATGTCAAAAAAAACGCTATGAAATTTTATCCTCAGATAACTTTCTCAGTAGAACATACGACTGAATCATGTAAACTAGAGAAAACACAGAGGCTGAAAAGAACAAACTTTAAGCCATAATAACAAGAGTGATATACAAACAGTAGTTTCGCGAGCACTCTCATCATAAATTATCGGATAACTAAAACAACTACAAAAACCCAGCCTAGAAAACTAAGTTAAACTAATCACAATTCAATTCCCTTCATCAATGAAATCAAAAATGTAACAAATTCACGAATAAACTTGAAAGTTATATCATGTATTCAAATAATAACATGAACAGCGACACAAATGCAAATGAAAGGACACTGAGAATACGGTAGTAAACACATAAGAAACAAAAATTCATGAGTTGATATCATCTTGCACAAATCATTTCATCTGACAGACTGCAAATCCAACAGGATACTTCATCACGTCCAGATAATTCGATGAAACGAAGCTTTCCACAATAGTAAGCCTAGTTAGGAATTCCAGAGATAACATTCTCAGTAAAGACAGTCGATATAGGAGTAAATCTTGGGCTCTGTGGTCGGTTGTAATTCCATTTTAGTCTGTTAATTAGAAATGTCACACAGTGAAACAGTATCGTTTAATGGATTACGTTTCGGACACAATTTATTGTCCATATTTCATATCAGGTAACTGCATAACTTTGAGACAAAGGTGATATAGTTCTAGTTTCTCCTCCTTCTTTGTGAATTTTCCAGATGCGGAATTATTTCGACTGCATGTATTTGGTGGTGATTCGATAAACAAAGATTTGGTTATCCATCTCTAACGCTTTCAATCTGTTGCTCTATTCCACTCTATTGTATGATGTGTGTAATTGTGTGCAGAGCTAAAGCCCAGCTTATCGCCAAATTTCTTATCTTATTAGAATCTACTAATCTTGATTTAGCTAAGCAACCATTGCAAGGGATTTGGTAAACCAAATTATTTTGTCTAGTTTGCATCGATAGAATCTGTTAGGCTAGAAAGCTTGTTTCTAAGCGAGTTTATTGATCCAAATCCCACTTTAATCCCAGCCAGCCTTATTGAGGATTCTTCGTAATGCTTCTGAAGTGCCTTCCTAGTAATGGTAACACAGCAAAGGCTTTGAATTCTCTCTCAACGCTGTTACCATTATTACAACCGTTATCACTATTAGTAGTAGAGTGATTACTAATAACACATGTATTACTACTGCTATTGCTAATATTTTCCTTTATATTTCTTATGAATTTATTTATAAATTTTGGTGGGCAATTATTGAGATGCAAGGTATTCTTGGTGTGTCTAATTTCTTGTTATAGATTTTCTGGTCTATTGGTAAGCTTTTTCGACCTATCACTTAGGCATTTAACCAAGCCTACTCTAACTCAGATGGGATGGGAAGATTTGAAGTCTAAGTAGCGATTCGAATGGGAAGGTTTCCTATAGACACCAGTCTCTAAACTTCCGTCGTGTGTTCGTTTAATCTTGCAATCCCAACATTGCTAGCTCACCTTCACTTTCTAAATCACAGGTAAACTGGATTGCATTCATTACTGAATCTATATATCTGCCAAGAACCTATTGATGTGTTCCAATTTTGGTACTGGAAACCCATCATCTACATATCGGAACCATGTCTTTGGAGTAGGACTAAATGTTTGAAGGGCCATCTGATCCCAACTATCCATGTCTGCAAGGATAGGAGATACTGGTGATACCATGGCAACACCTTCAGTTTGTTTATTTATTTTATTTTCAAACTTAAAAACTGTGGCTGTTAGGCGCAATCGTAGTCCTAGAATGATTTCCTCGATCGGCACCTTAGTTTGAGTCAAGCCCTTTGTCATTTAAGCCCATTTCTAACTGCCTCTAGAGCCATGCCGATCGAAATATTTGTGTAAAGGCTGGTTCTATCAAAAACTAAGCCCTTCTTCACTGTCATCTAATCTGTGCTTTAAGTCATAAGAGCTGGTAAGTCGAGATTTTGAATGACTTCTTATTGGGCCTAACCCTATTGTTAAATATTTAGACAACTAGTAAGTTGAAGTTTTGATAAAATCTACTATAGGGCTGTTGGGATAACCTGGCTAATGAATCTTAATAGTACGATACATTCTACTGAGATTGCTAGTTTTCGGCACTAAATTGAACCATTTTGACTTATCTCGAAACTGCTTCTTCCGGCATATCAGATTCCCTGTCGATTTCTTAACCTGATTCATAATAGTATACAATAATTCCTTAATTTCCTTAATTTTCCTGTTTCTATATGCTCATTCACTTTGTAAATGTAGTCAGATTTGCTGATTACACTTGTTGAGTTGCCTTTATCCGATCTGGCAATTACTATATTGCTATCATTTTGAAGGTTCCTGAGAGCCTCTCTTTCTAGCTCTCTGTTTCTGTCTCGCAATCGTGGAGTTACCTGGTATGAATACGGACAATAAGTTGTGTCCGAAACGTTGTCCAGTAAATGATACTATTTTACTGTGGGACGTTTCTAATAAACAGGCTAAAATGGAAAGACAGTTGACTCGGCAGAATCAACAAAAAAAGTGCATAAACTTACTAATGAGGTAAATCCTAAGACAAAAACATCGACATTGAACCTGAGAGTAACGAGGCACTGAAAGCACTCAAGAAAACTCTGCTATATTCTCGTCGTTCGAAAATGAATCAAAGATGATCACTACAACTACTACTACTACCTCAACCAAATATTTTCAGTAAGTTTCAACACGATTGAGAGTATACATTTCTTTATGATAATCTGTATCAACTCCATTTCTGTTAGTCGATGCTTAGTGGTTCACATACTAGGTACATCGTTGTTCGTTTTGCTACCATTGCCTATAAATTTGACCAACTTTCAGTGACAACTTTTTTCCCTTCTGTCTGCATAAAACTGTGTTGGATTCAGTGAACTCAGCTTCGTTATGCATTGATACATTCAGATAAGTAATCCTTCCTTTGCTACATATAAAGAGATAGATAATACAGGTCAATCGGTATGAAGCTGTAGAACCAATATTTTATGCCTCTTGACATTCATCAAAAAGATATATCTGCTCCAATGAAGAAATCCACGTTCCATTAAAAATGTGATCTGGCATAGAAGAGTACTTAAGCAAGGGACACTACTAAACATAACAGACTACAAATTTGTGTCAATTATATCAATGAATGATAGACGTCAACCAGCACTTAGCGTATGGTAATCAAATCGGTTACTATCAGGTGGTAAATTTGTATATCAGTAGCAAACATCACTCTGCTCTCCTGGTACACATCCGTGGTTGAATTGAAGTCCACTAGGCAACTACATGCATGTTCGTGCAGTTTGTGATACTATCTGCCTATCTAGACCTCAGCAGGTGGAGCGGGTTCGAAACAATGACCCGTCGGTCGGAAATAGCGTACTTAGACCAATGAGTCACAGTCCTGTGGTCACACTTGGTGGTATCAAAAGCACCATATACCGCCAACATTTAAAATGGGACTGCTTTGTTCTATATCGAAGATTTTTTAAGACTGTCAGTCAGCTGCTCCATTCTTTCCCAACGCATAGCGCAGAAAAACCAACAAAATATTAACACGGATTAGAGAGTCAAGAGACGATTAATGGAATCGATAACACATCATGTACAATCAAAGTCAGCACTATGTTCTCTGTCCACTTGCGTATGCTTTTGTATTCATCTTAACATTTGTCTACTACTATTCACTAGCTTTTGTGTTATGTTAATGTGCAATACAATCAAACCGACTGAAAGAGATGACTTCCATCATTATAGAGTAAATTTACACGTTGAGATGAAGCTTAGTAATAAAGTTGTCGACTTTACGAAGTGATGTGCGATCGAACCATCTG